ATCTCCACTGCAGAGTAGAATCAACACCATAGCCATCTATGATTTTTTCAGGGCCCCAGGATATCTGGGAGAGACCAAAATTACATTAGGCTGTTCCAGAGGGCAAGAATTTTGGACACTATGTGTCTGCTATTTCATTCCTTAAAGAGAAGTTGCAGACTTCTCTAATATGGCATTGGCACCAGTCTCAGCAACAAACACCCTCTGAGTTGGTGTGTGTGTGTGTGTGTGTGAACTGTTCTATGGTGAGGCATAGAGGGAACTGTTCTATGGTGAGGCATAGAGGGGCAGTGCCAGTAACAAGAGGCGGGGGTCTTTTCACAGTGGGCTTGTAGGGAATAGTTAGATTGGGGCATTTACATTGCGAAGTTGCTTTAGGATCTTAAACTCTGTGTCTCAGTACTCTCATCTGTGAGATGATGCTAAATAACACCTACCTTGCAATGCTGTCTGTGAACTTAAAAGAGACACTCAATGGATGTGCTCTGTAAATTATAAAAATCCTACCAGTGGAATATCTCATCATTGTGTCACATTGCTCCCATCTTAAGGATTTACACATGAAAGAGGCACTGAGCACTCTCATCTAGCCCATGGAGATCATGGTCCCCAGCCTCTCAATGGGCCTGCAGCCCTCCTGCTAGATTTATCCTTATGCCCACAAGTTTCTTATTATAATATAAATTCCATTGGCAATATAGTAATATCAAAAAAATTTTTCGATCAATAGAGGGCATTTTGGATGCCTCAGGGTGAATAGTTGCTATAGAAGTTCTAAAAACAAGCGCTGCCACACTTCTAATTTGTCTCTGTTCACAGCGATTGGGTGGGCTTAGGGTTGCAGATTAAATCTCAGAAGGACAATGTATGCAGCTTCAAGGGTAAGACATATGATAAAAGAACACTGTTTTTGATAGAAAGGGAATAATGAAAGACCATAAAATCTCTACAAATTCTCCCCACTTTACTGTGGTTTTCTTTTGGTTCTTAGAGAATATGCTTTCTGGAGTCATTCAGGTACATCTCTGTGTGTGGCCCTGGAGATGTATTATAGAGAGGGTAGAGCTCAGCCTTCCCGGTTTCCCTCAAAAAGTTCTTATTCTAAGCCCAAAGTGGAGAGTTTTGTTTCTTTCTGTCCAACTCTTTCTGTTGCTACCATTTTCCATTACCTACATTAAAACATATGTTGAGAGGGTCTACTACATTGTTTATCTTTTTGCATAAAATATATAATGTTACATAATTTTCATCTTCAAAATGATGAGCCATGTAGCATGACAGTGAGAAAACCCTTCCTTTGTAGTCAGACTTGGGTTTTAATCATGGCTCTATGAATTATGAGCTATTTGACTTTGGGCTAATTATTTAACATTTCTGAACTTGTCTCTTCATCTATAAAGTGGGGGTAATAATATTGACTTCTGACTGTTTGAGATTATCTTCACATAAGATAATATGTGAAAAATGCCTGGCATATGGTAGATAAGCCCACAGTGTTCCCTTTGTCTTCCCTGCAAAATTCACAGCTGTAGAAATGGTGAGAGGTCAAAGAAGAAATAGAGATCTCCAAGCCTATAAAACACTTTCCCTAAAGTGCTTGTACAAAGCTCACCTTCATTTACAGTATACATCTCTTATTGGGGTGGAATTCATTAATCCTTTGATCAAAAAAAACCTTAGCTTGATACCCATCAATGTCTCAAATTCCTATTTATGAATGTTTAAACTCTTCTGTTTGATTTTCAAGTTCTTTTATGACTTTAGACTGTACCTATCCAGCCTGATTTCTTATTCCCTTCCACTGCTCTCCCTCATATGTTTTCTATTTTATTCATTGGTATGGCAGACTTATATTTTCCAAAAATATTTGTGACTCCAGAATCCTGGTACTCTCTCCCCAAAAGGCAGTCTATTTTCCCTCCCCTTGAGCCTGGACAGTACACTGTGACATCCTCATGAAGAGAATGAAGCAGAAGTGCCAGCTGCCGGTAGAAAACAATAGGTTCCCTGCTTTCTCTTTCTAGGGATGCTCACCTTTGGAGCCCAGACACCTTGCTGTGAAGAAGCTAAGCAGCCACATGGAGAGTCCTTGTGGAAGAACTCTAGCTGGTAGTACTTAGCTGAGGTCCCAGGAAACATCCAGTATCAACCACCAGACATTTGTGAACAAGCCTTCAGATGTCTCCAGCGCCCAGTCTTGAGCGGCCCCAGATTGATGAGTGCAGGAGAGATGAATTGTCTTCACCAAGCTCTGCCTAAATTCTAGATCTGTTAGAAAAATGTTATCATGTTCAACCATAAATTTTGGGGTGGTTTGTTACTCAGTAATAGATAACCAGAACTGGAGAGTACTGCTTCCCATTTACATTTAAAAGCTTTTTGGGGTAAAATCCTTATCTTCTTTCTTCTCTGCTGGGAAGACACTGCAATGCTGGGCACACAACATATAAGACAAAAATGGCCTGTAGCAATCATCTGATTCAGTGATTTACAAACCATTCCAGAGCTGGATTTTTTTAAAATAGATATCCTGGACTGTAATTCTTGTGACCTAATGAAGATATGGAGTGGTACCTAGAAATATAGTTAAAAAGGCTTCTGATGAGTAATAAATATTTGGAAACCACAGATACTCTTCTAACCTTAAAGATGCAGAAATAGATTCGGAGGCAGGAATGAACTTGTTTCAGGTAGCAAAGCAAAGAGCAGAGCTGATACTGGAACTCAGACCGGCTCATCTTCTAAAATACCTTTCTTCATAACTCAACAGATCTGACTAGGGATATTAATTTACCTCCTGCACCACCTGCTCTTCAGAGTAACTCTAAGGTACATTTATCTCTGCCCCCTAGCATTATTTTTTTCAAGTGAATGAAGTGTTGCCATGCTTTCACAAGGTCTATGTGGGAAGGGGTCTGGAAAACACTGTGGGAGGCGGGTAATGGTGGGATAGAGATGACTGTGTTCTCTTTGCCCGACTGCCAAGGTCAGTCCACACATATACATATGTTTCTTCCTTCATCTACCTGCAGAGGTTGAATTAGATATGAACTGTACAGCTGATCTGTACATCTCCAGCTGACATGTTCACAATGTGCTAAAGAACAGAGCGCCACGGAGAAAAATGGGTGAGGTGAAAATCATTTCCATTGCTCCAGGAGGAAGATGATGGATCAATCTAGGTGGGCTCGGGATGAATGAAGTCAATGAGTTGGAAGTCCTTGCAAAGGACTGCTTTCTGCCTTTCCAAGTCTTCAGCCAGTTATACGACTGATTTTTGAAATGACCCAATAAGTTCTGCGTGTCTTGCTTCACCAAAATCACCTCTCAGCCTGCCTCTGCCACAATTTTATTAGGTAGAAAGGTAGAGAGGAGCAGCTGGAAAAGGGAAGGAGATAAGGTTCAAAGAAAAAGCTGCCCAAACCTTGCCCAGGTCGGGGTCCTAGGTGGAGACAACAAAGGCTTTGCAGGGAAGTAACTTCCTCCCCAACCACATCCCAATGGAGGGAACTAAGATCTGCCCAAACCACGCCTCTGCCTGGGGAAAGGACGTGTGCTCCCTGAGAGGGGTGACTATGTAGAAAGACCTGTAAATCGAATAGCCCCACCTTGTAAGTCAAGAGAGGTGCCTCCAGGCCACAAAGCAATATACAGGCCTCCCAACTAACAGACTGAGGGCTTTGTCTACCTAGGCTCCCGCCAGCTCCTCCCTGGGAGTGTATTCAAATTCAGCTTTCCCTCTGCCTGCTGTTGTGTCTCTACCTCAGTTCTTTGTTGCAGCGTGATGGACAGGGGAGAACAAACCTACCACTAAAAATTTGACTTTTAAATCTTGCATTATTGCTTGAAATTTCCTTATGGACTTACTTTTTTAAAAAATTCAGTTTTTGGGTAAGAAGCTTTCCATGAAAACTTGATTTTGAATAGAAGAGAGAGTCATCTTTTTATTCTGGTTAGGTCTTATTTTATGTTTTTCACTGACAACAAAGCCTGCTGTCTGAAAAATTTTCTTTTATCACAAATTTCTGCCTTTTAAATGAGTGTATACACATGTGAAAATTCATCAAGCTGTAAAAAAAATTTATTAAAAAAACAATGCTTTAACATGGTAAAAAAAATTACTTACCAAAGAAAATAAAACTTTTTTTTTGCTTTTTGAATGGACTTGGTTGCCATTTTTGAGTGCAGAGAGTATTGCTGTGGGATATTTTATCTCATCTTCTGCTTCCCAGTCTCAGTTTTCCAGGTTAAGAGAGCATGTGTTACTATAAGAATGAGTTACTCTAAATGCAGGTAACATTTACTTTTTCCTTCTCACAATCGAAGCTGGATTGATGGAATAAATAGTCATTACATCTCATTAACTACATCTTCTGTTACTCCACAATTGGGAGAAATGGAAGATTTCTTTTTTTCCCCCCAGTTTGTAGAGTTTCTCATTTATATTTGGTTTGATATTCTTCCCAGTTTATATCTGGTTGCTTTGTCTCCTGATAGATTAATTCGCTCATTTACATTTGGTTTGCTTACATTTGTGGCATATTTTTTGTTTTGTTTGTTTTGTTTTTAATGTTAATTTGAGCTTTTAATAATAATAGCCAATATTTTTGAATGCTTACAATTGAGTCAGGCACATTTTATTAACCCAAGCACTGTGTTGTTTAATCCTCACAATGTCCTAGTGAACCAGAAAATACTATTATTATTCCCATTTTAGAGGTGAGGAAACTGAAGAAACAGATGAGAATGTGTAAGTTGCCAAAGATCACAACACTAGTAGAAAGACCTTAACCATTTACTGTTGTGCCCTATGTGATAAGTTAATTTTTCCTGTCTTCTGCCTGTACTTTCGGCTTGGATTTTACTCTCTAGTTAAGGTTCAAAAGGTGCATCCAAGTTGTCCTAATTCAATAGATGTCAGACATGACCAGAATCACCTGGAGGGCTTGTTAAACCATAAACTGCCACACTCCACCCACAGAGTTTCTACGTGGAAGACTGGGTGGGGCTTCAGAGTTTGCGTTTTCAGCAAGTTGCCGGCTGATGTGGGTGCTGCTGGTCTGGGACAGCCCTTTGAGGATTGCAGGTTTAGTTCATTCTCTTCAGGTAAAGTTAAAACCCTTCTGATCTAATTCCATCTGAATTGGCAAGTTAATATGTAATCAATCAACTAAAGAATTATTTTTTCTTCTAGAAACAGAAATCATGCATGATTTATGATTTTTTCTTTAGCTTTCTAAAGACTGCTGTGGTGTTAGCTTCAGACTAAAGCTATTTTCTCACGTGGAAGCGACCCTTTTGCTGAGGGAGCCACAGGTAGCCTGCGCCCAGAGACCCAGAAGTACCGTTTGTTTCCATGTCCGCAGTTGGGCACCACAATCAGCAGCCTATCATGTCGAGGAAAGCATTTAATCCTAACGGTTCAAGAACTACTGGCTTGGCTGTTTTGCAGCTCTTTCATTATGGGACCTTCCTTGTGGCAGACCTGTGTTGATAGCCTGGGTGTGATTTCGATAGTAGATGATAATTTACCAAAGCCTTTCTATTCTTTGTTTTCAGTTAATGATTGTCTGATTGTCAGCAGTTAGTGTTTATCAGTGCCAGCTGTGCTTGTTTGCCGGCCTGCTGGTGGGATCTTGAATTGATGTCAGTTAAATGGTTTATTATGTGGAGTGCTCAGGAAAGTGTGGGGGACCGGGGAGACCGGAGTGTCCTAGGAGTTCTGACCACATGGTGTGGGTGCGAAGAGCAACACTCGTATAGGAGGTAGACAAGGACACCAAAGGGCACTGAGAGTGAAAAGGCCTGGGTGTCCCGGAGGAACATTACTGCCCTTCATCTACAACCACCCTCTGACCAATGCAGAGTCAAGAAGTGGTGGTATGATTTAAACTGTTGGTACATTTTGTAACTGAGGAAGTAACGGTATTCTAGGCTACTGCTAGTACCATGGATCATGTAATTATAAGCTATTTGAGTTGGCAAGTTCAAAAACCTTCCAGTGCACCCCACTGCCCACTAGTAGCATCAGGAAACTAGATTCAGAATAAAAATGACTTGTGTGTCTATGCTTATAAAGTATGTGACCTTGGGCAAGTCATTTTAACTTCTCAGAATATCATTTTTCTCATCCATAAAATGAGAACAACATCTTCAAAGTTGTGAAGATGAAATAAAGTGAGATAATGTATTAAAGAACAGAGTGGTTTTGTATTTGATACTCAAAATGAATTCAGCTTTGTAGCTCATATCCTAAAAGCGACCTCTGCCCCACTCAGACTGGTTTTCTCACAGTGCCATGAACATGCCACTCTGTTCTCCTTGACTTTGCTCAAAAGCATCCATGCTTTATTTTTTTTATTTTTTTTATTTACTGGGCCCAAACGTGTGGATTTGGCATCTCCTGGTATAGCTCCACTTTCTGTTCTTTCTCAGAGCAGAGGAGTCAGCTGAGGGGTGGGGACTGACTGCACATAGACAGTCCAGTATAAAATCACTCAGTCACTAGTTTCTCACTCTCTCTCTCTACCCTCTGTGTTGGGCACTGAGCATCCCCGAGAAATAAGGGCTCCTTCCTGCCCTTAGCTCCCAGCCATTCAACCAGGATGCTAACTGCACTGCCACACTGCTGCCTACAGAATGGTCCCAGCAGAACGAAACTTCTAAATCTGGGAAATGCTCTCATGTCAAGTCTGACAAAGGAACATCTAAATGGTGGGGAAAATGTGCACACCTGATACCATATAGAACTAAGTGGGGCATGCTGAAATCATAATGAGAGTATTTATCCTTCTAGTCTGCCAGTTTATAGATTGACAGATCAGCCAATGCTGAGTTTCATTATAGATTTGCTATTATATTTCACCTTCTTTTATTCTATAGCTGCTTTAAAGATTGTATTTTCTATTATGGCCTGCCCTGCAGAGGCTGTTTGGACCCTTATTACTTACTAGCAAAGCTGCCCCTCTGTAAATTGCAGATCTGTGTCCCAAATGGATGTGTCATAAAGAATATTTTTATTAGATTTCTCTCAGTTACTGGTTTGAATATAGACAAAGTAACCCCTGGGGCTCATATTGAGGAAGCAGTTATTTACCATGCTTAATAACTGTAACAAATCAAGCCCTTCATTATGCTACAGTGCCTGGCATTGTGTTACATACACACCCATTTATTGTTAGCAGTAAATTTATGTGGTAGGTATTATTAATCCTGTTTTACAAGTGAAGTAGCCAGTGTTCAGAGATGTTCCGGAAATACTGGAGGAGCACAGATTGGAATTTCAGACTTCAGTTCTTAGCCCAGTTTTGTATCCTGTTGTGTCCTTGGGTAAGTGGAGCAAGCTTGAAAATCCTCCATAAAATTCACCCTCGAAGTGTGGCTTTGAGAGTTAGCTATGATAATGTTCGTGGAGTGCTCAGCACTGGCTCAATTCTTAGAAAGCACATATTAAACATTTGCTCTCACCAATAAAAGGTACAGGCAAGATTCACACATGGAGCGTTCCATTTCCTAAGTCTATCCTCTTGAGCCCAAGGCTATGTTTGTTGCCATTTTCATGCTGAATTAAAATCTTATACAGCAGGTGAGTTTTGCTATTTATGAAGGGATCACAGCAAGTATTATTTCTGAAGTGGAATTGGATGGTTTCTACTCTTTATGGGCCCTAGGAATAGTGTTTAGGACTTCTGTCACAATAATAAAAAGAAGTACTATTTTTTCTGATGAGTCTATCTGGAGGATTTCATTAAATATGGATTCAATTTTAAAGAAACACACATATGAAAATTTGTGTTCACAAAAGAAAACAATAGGGTAAAAGAAAGTTGTGTGAGTTAGTCACCAAATCTAGTTTGTCTTCTTGAGTTTACAGCATATCCCAGACTCCTGGGACTGAATTCAGCCAATGGAAGATGAGTGGAATATGGCTTATGTAAACCTCCCAATAAGGTAGTCTCCATGCTTTTTCCTTCCTGGCTGAACGGAAGGCAGACATGGGGACCTTGGAAGCCACCTGCAGAAGATGGCAGAGCCATATATGAAATATACCTGGGTCTCTTTGGATCATGTCTTGGGGATATCCACCTGTGCATCAAAATACCCAAGTGGCATTTACTTGAGCAAAACATAACTTTCTTTTGTGTTGGGGACATTATCCCTTTGGGATGTGTTTGTTACGTCAAATTAATAAAGAAAAGTTTCACAAACTTTGGCAAGTAGGCCTGTCAGATTGACTTGTAGCTGAAGAACTCCTTGCGTTCTTCCCCTCTTTGCTCAGTTAAGGTTCCCCACCTGTCTGCAGGAAGAATGAGCCCACACATGGCCCTGGAGATCACCTTGAATGTCTTCCTCTTCTGCCTACTTGCCGGCCCATGAGGATTTTTGCACACCTCCCATAAGGATTGGCACGTATCCATTAACTTTTCTCCCCCAGCCTTCTGCTTTCAGTACCACGTAAGTACTCTTCTGTATTGTATAGCATATATCACTTAGTACAAGTCAGACTGAATTTGAAATTTAATTCAGCTCATAGTTGCTTCAAACATAGGCAGAAAAGTAGGCTGGCAAGACCTGAGGGTTAGTTCCACTTCCACTGCTTAGTGATCATGTAGCCTTGGGCAAGCCTATCTTTCTCTTAAACTCAGTTTCCTTGTCTGTAAAATGCAATTAATTCCTGTGCTGCTTCTCTCCCTGAGATGCCTTAAGATGGACATGTGGTTTACGAGAGTGTTTTTAAGGAATTAGAACATGTTCTGCAGGACACTGTAACTATTATTTATATAAAATAATAATGTACACATTGGAGTTTTTATAGTAAAATGGTAATGTTTAGTCCCACTACGAAAGATTTCTTTTTATTTGTGAAAGGCAGTGTGGAGTATTAAAATAAACTGATAGACAGCTTTATTCGAATCTCATATTCCATAGCTTACCAGTTGTATGAACTACTAATTCATTGCATGAAAACTTCTACGAGTTGGTTTTATCGGCTGTTAAGTTGTGGATAATAATGCCTATTTTGTGGAGTGTTATGAGACCAAATGAGTACTTGTAAATTAGGCACTGAAAAATATAAAAATTAATATATTTGAAAGATTTGCTACAGGCCAGATCTTCCCAGCATTAGTGACTGTTTACATGCATATTAGCAAATATTTAACAATGGTGATAAGGGAGCAAACTTAATATTGAAAAATTAGAAGTCACAATCTGTTGGAGGTCATTTGAAGCATCTTAGAAAGTATAAGGCCAACCAGTAGGGTATTTTTTTGGCTGACTTATAATTTCTAATTATATGTGGTGTCTGTAAGAGGAATGTTTTGCATAGTGTTTACTTGTGCTGAGGAGTGCAGCGATTCACAAGCAGGAGTATCTGGTATTAAGTGGGGACTGAAGCCTACAGAGGCAGGGTCACGTCAGGGGACCTTGTCATCACCCAGCTCTTCCAGCCACTCTTTCCCGTTCCAGCTACTTCAGTGCTGCTCTTCAAATTCCTGTGGTCTCTTGCCGATTAAGCTTGACTATCACATGAAAGCTTTCATCCAACTACATAGGCAAATAAAGACTATCCTTCCTGCTTCATTTACTGCCTCCCCTCCAAGCGTTTCAACAAAATGTGTGAGATCATTACTGATAGTAATAATGATAAACCTCACACACTTTAAATCTGAGAAAAGCTTTTACAGTATTCACGTATCATTCTCCACTAAGTATGATGGAAGAAAATAAATTGGAGTGTGTGTATCAAATAAGGAGTTGTGGCTCCAGCTGAGCCAGTGTATGTGTTGATGGGGGAATTAGAAGGGAGGAGGAGGTAGAAAGCAAGGAGATAGCTGAGGGTGTGGAAATTCCGATACACATGATCTGTGAGGGAAGATCGAGGAGAAAAGGGAAAACTATGATGAGAATTTTACCAGCTATCCCAAACTAGTAGGGAAGGGAAATACACCTGTCTGTGTGTGTTTGTCTGTGAAGGACATTTGTGTGTTATCCAAGGGCTTTGTTCTGGAATGAAGCTGCCTGCTGATTTCCTGTGTGACATTCAGGGAATATGAGGTTCTTTCTTTTTACAAGTAAATATTTGAATTACCTAACCCTAAAATGTCTGTGAAGAGATTTATGGTTTATGACTAATTCTGTGTTATTGATGGGCAAGACATAGGAGAGAGAAATGGAATCCAGAAGTAATCTGCACAATTCATTTTAATCCACAGTTTCAAATGACAGAATTGCTAACAAGTAGCAGAACTGATGGATTTAGTGTTGCCTCCGACCTGCCTGGCACTTCTCCCGGAGAAGGAACTAATGCAAGACTGAAATGGCGCAAATCAGTGAGCAATAGGGATGACAGAGGGATCAAAGGCCTTAGAAATTTGCATGCTGCGTAATTAACACTGAACTGATTTTTTAACCTATCGTTTTATCATTCCTGCACAATCAGTAATTAGAGGTAGAGGAAAATGCCCCTCACTGTCTCAGGACTATCCGTGGCACCATTCGTCCTAACAGCTATTGTCTGGAGTCTCCAATCTTACATTCTTTTTCCTACTTTCTTCAGCTACTTTCCTAAATAAATATTTTTGCCACAGCAAAACTGGAACACTATCTCCATGCTGCATCTTTGCTTCATTAGAAATCCCTTTCTCTTTCCCTGTTTTTGTAAGTCCTTCTAGTTTTTAAATACCCAAGTCAAATCATCTTTTCCATGAAGCCCTTTTACAATCCATGTTTGTCTACTCCTAAATTTTGGATGTTGACCCATCCCTTCTGTTTCAGATGCTCAGCAACTGCAGGCTGAGTCCTTTCTGGTCCTTCCAGGAAGTAAGAATGACAAGAGCCTCATTTCCACCATTTTTGGAATTCAAGCTCAGTCTTTTTTCCATAGACTGGGGAGCTAGTGTGCTGGGGAGTAGTCTTCTAATTCCCAGCCTTTTCTGTCTCCCCACTGCACCTTCCCCCTTGGAGTCTCTGTTTATATACTCTTTTGCCTCTGTTGTGTGGCCTACCATTTCAGTTTCCTTCTGAGTTTGAATCCCAGTGCTATTGTTGAGGTCCATAGAACTTACCTAGATCACGTTAGCACTCTGCTTTTGCAGAGTGTGGCACTAGATATTACTTTGGTTATTTCTCTATTCTGCGAAATGAATGTTCACCTGGGATGATCTTCCATCTTTTTTCCACTCAATTAAGTGGCCCTTAATTCCTAGTCACCACCTGCCATGCCATCTACTCCTCTGGCTACCTGTGTGACCATTCAAAAGTTATTTCATCTTTTAAAGCCTTACTTTGTTCATGTAGAAATTGGCATAGTAATACCCACTTCATAGGAATGTTGTGAGGATGCACACCTGTGTTAATCTTTGGGACGTTGCCTGCCACATAGTAACACTCAAAAAATTCGCTCTTACTATTGTTTGTGTTCTTAATATCAATAAAATACCATATCTGTTGGGCTGTGGTCTAAAATCTTCTGCTTAAATTGCACTTGAACTTGCCATGCTCTTTGGACATTAGCTGCCTCTGTACCCAGGATCATTTCCCCAGACTTCATTTCAATCGGCCTTAGATTTTTCCTCTCCTCCAGAGTGGATCTGCCTCATACTTAAGAGTGCTTGAGTCCTGACATTATAGGACTTTGTACACATGGCCTTAAAATTTAATTACTCATTTTTTTTTCTTCTCTGCTAACTTGTAGGCTCTTCATGGCCAGCAATCTCATCAATTACCTTCTGTGTCTCTTAATATATCTTATATGTGGAAGACCCTCAATTATGTATATTTTTAATAATTGAAAGATTGTCCATTCAGAAAATGATGCACATCTTATAATTTAACCCTTCAACACTTCAAGTCAATGTAACTATTGGAAACAAGGATTTTTATTTCCAATTCCATGTTTATTGAGTTTTATAAGTTGCCAATCCTTAGTGTGTTAGAAAAATGCAGTTAAACTAAATTCAACAATACATAATGATTACTTACTATAGGCTAGTCATTGTTGCAGACATTGGTGATAATGAATAAAAAACAGACTGAGTCATTGCCCTTGGCCATATAAGAAAGAATAAACATATGGATTCAAATTCTTAGATGTATCCATTCAAGGTCATTTAATAGCTATTTGAATACCTATTATGTTCCTAACTGAAGACTGGAATTGAAGACTAATTCCTGGAACATGACACAGAAATTCACCACCAAGGTATTCACATTTAGTGTACATGCTATTATTATCCCTTAAGGTTTTCAGACTTATTTTCTACACATTCAAAAATCCTATGAGATAGGCATAGCAAACCCAATTAAACCATATTTTCAGATGAGGAAATTAAGACTTAGAGACATAACTGACTTGTCAAAGATCATAAAATGAGTAAGTACCATGGTTAGATCTAAAAGGCAGATCTCTACATCAAACAATCAGTATATTAGTTTAAACCATATAAAACTGGTATTTTTGCTTATCAAATCTGATTGAATATTGTTAGTTATATATATTTGTAATATAAACAGGGTCTATGTAGCTTCAGAGAGACATGGAAAAAACGATGGAGAAAGTAGAATTTAATGTAGACATTGGAAAATTGATACAATATTATTGGAAGAAGGTAATCAAATAAGTAAAGGTGAACAAGAGGTTAGGTGAAACTCTCAAACTTTATCTGTGGGAACTTTGAGTGGACCATTTTGCTAGATTGGGGATCTAGCAAAAATGTGGGTTTTAGGTTTTGGAGAGTCTTGAAAAAATAAATCTAGCAAGAGCTTGCATGGTGTTTGGTAGCTTCTGGAGAGACTTTCTTACCTTACATTGGAATAACAATATGGAAGCCATGAGCCAGGAAGGATGTGGGGGAATGCACACCTGTGTGAGCATGCATACGCAAGGATGCATCAGATGGAGCAGTATGGAGAGACCCTGGAGTGGGAGCTTGTTAGAAATCAAGTTCAGAAGTTCAAGGGTGATGTAATGTTGGTAGCAGTCCTGGCAACTGGAAGGACAGGATCTGATTGTGGGTCATTTCATGAGAAGAATGAAAAGGACGTGGTAATTGATTTTGCATAGTGAGAGAGAAAAATCAAAGATGACTGTTAGGATTCAAACCCAGGGGACTAAAATAGATGAAGTCACAAACAAAGTGGAAAGTTAGGAGGAGGAGATTGTTTGGGGGAGGAAAGGTGATATGAGTTAAATTTTGGAGTTTGAGCAGCCAATATTTAATGAGACATATCCAGTAGGCAGCTAGAAATATGGGTACTAGTTCTGGAGAAGCTGGGAACGGAGTCACACTTGTCGAGGTAATGACCGAAACCATGGTATTAAATGAGCTCACTGAGAAAGACGACATTGTAAAGGATGGCAGTCAAGGATAGGAACTTAGGAATGCCTGGGTTTGAAGGAATGTGTAGAAAGCACAGCTAGGCTAGGAGACAAAGCAGAAATACTCAGAAAAGTG